CTGTTTTGTTATGATAACTGCTGTTTAACGCCGCAGTACGCGTTCCGAATGTTATCACAAGAATGCTGAGTTGTGGGCAAAAGTCGTGCCCCAGGCGGGAGTCGAACCCGCACCTCACGCTTTCCGGGCGAGTGCGCTACGCCACCAGGGCCGCTTTTACCCTCTCAGCTTAACGGCTTATGCCGTAACCTTACAGCACTCACACGTTTAACTTGGTGAGCCGGTCAGCCGTATCATTGAAAGAGCCCTGCTCGGATCGTCATACTTGCATTAATTGAGGGACTCCGGACCTCCGCACACCGTCGACGCTCGAAGATCAGAGACGCAGCCGCATTTGCCAAGGTATTGAACATCGGCTGGGCCAGGCCAGAGCGATCACCGACTGGATTCCACGGGATGTCAAGCGAACACCTGGACGACCGCCTACGCGATGGTCAGACTTCTTCGTGAAAGCTCTGAACGAATGGTATGAAGTTCATCGTGTCCCTCGAGCAGAGAGAACTCATTGGGCAACTCTTGCACGTTGCAAGGACGAAAGCACCCGCTCGACCGACTCGATGTTCAGGTAATGCAGGTGATACTTCTTCTAGCACTAGTAATCACCTTGAGGAAGCAAACAGTGGTGTTGACCCTGTGTGCAGATAAGAAAAAGAAGGTAATTAAGTATTCTGACATACGAACGAAGGTGGGCGCGTCGAAGCAGTGTCCATGTGACTGGAAAATACTCAAATGCCAAATGGGTGTCATATTCGTGTTCAGGGAGCAAAACTACCCTTGGGGACAGGTTTCTAGCCAGATGTGAGGTTTTGACCTAACTTTGAAAAGTGCGGTAGCAGTTGATCGAATGATGGTCACCAATAGTTCCAGGGCCAGTCTCTTGTCGATTGCTTGTCTTTGGACGGAATTTGCTTTTAGATACCAGGAAAACTGGAGCAGTAACAAAATGAATGCGTAAGAAGTGGCAAGACGAGGCCTTGTGCAGGAGAATGTATCTGCAGCTGAATAGTGAACATCAACTGAACTAACCCATGGATGCTTCACTTTTCGAAGTCAGGTCAAAATGCCAGATTTGGCTAGAAACCTCTACCTAGGCGTAGTTCGCCCCCGATAAATACGAATATGGCACTCGAAGACGCCTGCACTGTGAGCCAAGGGCATCTGTACATCCGAGAATTCTTCTAGAGTAGAAGGCGCCCAAGCGCGCTAGTAAGCGACACAAACTGTTTTTTCAGGCAAGTTTAGGAGAGCGCTAATGTAGTAGTGACGTTACAGCCACTTTTTGCCACGTTTGCACAAGAAGCAAAAAAGTTAAGCTCGGCAGAGATCCGATCCCAGGACCTGTTATCGCGGAGGAAAAAGCTCCATAACTCCGTTCAGAGAATCGTTCTGCAAATTTCGAAGGCAGATTCGAGATCAGCGTCCAAAACCACGTCTAGTGAGCTACATCTCATTACAAATGGCCACTTCGACCTGACGACCTTCCCTAGTAAGCTGAAGTTATTACAGCGGACCATAACAGGCAAATCGGTGAAACACACCACATCATTCACCTGCCTGCGTGCACCGTGAGCGGTCGCCTATTCAATTTATCTGCGATGTCCACCTTTGCCACCCAGAAACGGATTGGGCTCACTTCGCCCTCTGGCCCTGAACCCAACCATCTAGTCCCCACGTCATTGCTCGACGAGGATGGCATCACATTACTGAATAAAATTCATGGTATTCTTTCTGTAAAAGCGCCCGAGGTTATCCAGCTTTTGGACCAGTTTTTGGGTAGGTTACCATTAATTATCAATGAGGCTGTGGATAGGGATAAGAGGCTCAGATCACTCGTTTTTTATGGTGTTCCGGAAGCCGGTGGCGATCTTTCTCCGTCTGCGCGTCAGGCACACACGGAGAAGGTTGTCACCGGGATACTTGATTCCCTCAACATCGAGACCCGTCCCGCCGAAGTGTATCGGATGGGTCGCGGTGTTGAGGGAAAGCCTCGTCTTGTTAAATGCGTTTTTTATTCTAGACGTATTTCCTTTGACATTTTGTCTAAGGCACATAGGTTGCGCTCGACGCACGAATATAGGGATGTATATATTAGAAAATCAATGACTATTGATGAGCGCAAGAAAGATCGCGAATTACGGGAGAGAGCACGTGAACTTGAACAGGAAAGAAGGTGAGCGAGTCTATGTAATTTACAGAGGTGAACTTGTGAAGACTAAGGATATTCCAAATTTAGCCAAAAGGGGAAGCAATGCTCCTTCGTTGTCAAAAAACTAGTGTATTCGCGTACGAGTTTTTTTTCCTGTTTCTTGTTTAACGCTCGTAGCTTGAAGAACAAGATTCATGACCTCCATTGTCTCATTGAAATACTTAAACCTGGCATTATTTTTATCACCGAGACCTGGCTAACTAGCAAAATTGCTGATTCTGAACTCTGCTCGGTCTTCCCATACTCAGTAGTTCGCAAAGATAGAGTTGGGAAGACCGGGGGAGGAGTATGTGCGCTCCTGCACAACTTTTTCCTTTATGATGAAGTCAAGTTCGATTGTAAGGTTCTTAGCGCCGATGTTCTCTGCTTTGATGTTTTTTTGCCATCCTCTCGTAATCATAGGTTTCTCCTCATATTCCTCCTCATATATCGCCCCCCACAGTCTACCCTGTCTCAAGATGAACAGCTAGTTACAGTGATTTCTGACCTAGTTTCGACCTCTCCGCATCATGTGACCATTCTGGGGGATCTGAACCTAAATATTGACTGGTGTTCACATGTGGCGCTCAACTCCGAAGCACAAAAGTTTCTTAGTGCTTTTGAAAGTCTTTCTTTGGAGCAACTAGTAACATTTCCCACTAGAGGAAATAAAATTCTTGACATCATTTTGGCAGACGGCAATTTCATCTCAGATATTTCAGCTCGTGCACCTTTTGGGAGCTCAGACCATGACATGATTTCATTTAATATATCCGAATGCGGCTTTCAAAACAAATTGACACGCTTCATTGATTTCTTGCATGCCGATAAAGGGAAAATTAGGCAAGCCCTTTCTGACATTGACTGGTTAGAAGTTTTAAATTTCTACGCTGATGCTGATGATGCATATAACCGTTTCGCCAGTGTCATTCACAACATTATTTCTCGGCACGTGCCCATTAAATATTTCGAGAAATGTGCATCCAGTCGTTACCCCAAACATATCGTTAATCTTTTCGAACAACGTGAAAGGCTGTTCCATTCTTTTAACGGACCTTCTATGAATCCGCTTTTTATTGAGGTTTCGCGTAAACTTGACTTTCATTTGAAGCGTTTTCTGGCATACAAAGTAAGGAAAATGGCTCAAAGTAACCATATGAAGAAGCTTTACGAGTTTATTAAAAAAGTTAAATCGACTTCGCACGTGTCTCATATCCTGGTAGACTCCGATGGGCGCAAGTATTCAACTGATGCTTCCAAAGCGGAAGCTATCGCGGACTACTTTGCCAGTGTTTTTGGAAAGGCAAGCAGTGGTATACAATCATTGCCATCAGTCTCTAACGAATGCTTTGAAATGCCAATAGTTTCTCCCCACGTAGTGCTCAAACATCTCCGCTCTTTGAAACGGTCCATGTCTCCCACAGCCGATGGCATACCCCAAGTGTTCTACAAAGAGTTCTCCGATTATCTGGCTATCCCCCTTGCTCATATACTCAATATTTGTCTCCTTCTTGGTGAAGTTCCTAGCGTTTGGAAAAATTCGTTCGTTACACCCCTGCCAAAAGTTAGCAATTCCAATCTCATATCGAATTTTAGACCTATAAGTATCTTACCGACCCCGCTGAAAATAATGGAGAAGATAGTGAAAGAAAAGCTTTGCATTGGGTTTCGAAACTTCAGCTGATCCCCACTGAACAGCACGGCTTCCTTCCCGGTGCGTCCACGTGTACGCAACTCATAGACTGTACGCACTCTTGGACGGAAGCCCTCAACAGTGGAAAAAATGTAGATGTTGTTTATTTTGATATGAGTAAAGCGTTTGACAAGGTATGCCATTCCAAGTTACTGGCAAAGCTTGAGTCCATTGGAGTTAGAAATATGGCTTTGAAATGGTTCGAGTCTTACCTAGATGGCTGGAAGATGAATGTCCGCTTTGGAGGTAGCCTATCAACAGTGAGAGAATGCACCTCTGGGGTCCCCCAGGGGGGCATCCTGTCACCTCTCCTCTTCCTCATTTACACGTACGATCTGCCCAATTTCCTCAAAAGTGACAGCAAAATATCCGTGGCTTGTTTTGCTGACGATGTGAAAGTGGCGATAACTTATGAGGAGCTCGGCAGATCTGAGGCACAGCTAGCTCTGAACAATGCTCGCGTGGGCGGAGTGCTGGGGTCTCGAAATAAACTACAATAAAACGGCGCTGTTTTCCCTAGGAACTAAGGCGCTAGATATTGTCTTTCCGAACAAGACCCCTTTGCGACATAGCGAGCGGGTAAAAGACTTAGGAATCATACTTTCAAGGAAGTTGAGTTGGAGCGAACACGTTCAAGAAATTAGCAACAAAGCACTAAGGTTGGTCTACCTTTTATTCAGAAATATTCATTGCACTGAGCTTAAACTATGGATAAGACTCTACAAATCGTATATACTCCCCATCGTGGAGTATTGTAGCCCGGTTTGGAACCCATTTCTTGTGAAAGACATTCGAAAGCTCGAATCAGTGCAAAAGACATTCACTAGAATTTTGTATTATAAGGTCTTTCCTGACTCTGGTTATCCGGAATCGTTACCACCCTATCAGGTTCGTCTTCGCGAATTGAATTTGAAGAGTCTTTTCCATAGGAGGATTGTTGCTGACTTAGTTTTGCTTTCAAGTTACTTAAAGGTGAACTTCGTCTCGCCCGTCGAGATTTTGGAATTTATCGCCCTATCGAATGACTCCGCGGGTTGTTTTCAATTACGGGCACAAGATCTGGTAACCACAGGCAGCTCGGCATACAGTTCATTCCGCGCGCAACTCGTTGGCTGTCGCTTCTACCTTCTACGTTCTTCGATTGTAGAGATTCGGTACATTTCAAGAGACAACTTATGAATTGCAATCTCTTAGAGCACTTATGTCTTGATGACGTGGGGTAAAGGGTAGGTCCCTGCAATGGATTGATTGAGTACTTCCTCGTGATATCTGTGTTTTCGGTCTGATTGGTCAAGACGCGTCGTTACTGAGGAGCTGACTTTTTTGGTTCTCTCTCCTGCTGCGCCACCACGTCGTCTCTCTTCTGCATTTTGAATCTTTTTTCGGATTATCACCCTTTAATATTGTCTACAGTTGGTGGTGCTCTCGTGCGAGAGTCTGGGACTTTAAGCTTGCTGGTAGCTACTTCTGCTTGGTTTGTCGGTTCCACGAGGTCAGCTGGCATACTCGTGTTTCGAAGTGCCGGCAAACTCCCATGACCCCTGATGTGGCGCTAAGGGCACCTGGCCAGTTGGTGTAGGTGGTTGTAGCTTCGCTAGCTCCTAGTCCATCTCTAGCCGCCGTACCACATGGACTCATTCTCTAGTGTCGCCAGACCCTGTTT